GACAACCTAACAATTGGGAGAAGATATTTGCAAACCATACTTCTGATAAGGGCTTAATCTCCAAAATATATAAAGAGCTCATGCATCTCAACAACAAAAAAACTACCAACCCAATTAAAAAATGGGCAAAAGACCTGAACAGACATTTCTCCAAAGAAGATATACAGATGGCCAACAGACACATGAAAAGATGTTCAAAATCACTAACTATCAGGGAAATGCAAATCAAAACTACAATGAGATATCACCTCACGCCCGTCAGAATGGCTATAATTAACAAGACAGGAAACAACATGTGTTGGAGAGGATGTGGAGAGAAGGGAACTCTCATACACTGCTGGTGAGAGTGCAAACTGGTACAGCCACTATGGAAAACAGTATGGAGATTCCTCCAAAAATCAAGGATAGAACTACCATATGATCCAGCTATTCCACTGTTGGGTATTTATCCAAAGAACTTGAAAACACCAATTTGTAAAGGTACATGCACCCCTGTGTTCATTGCAGCGTTATTCACAATAGCCAAGACTTGGAAGCAACCTAAGTGCCCATCAAGGGACGAATGGATAAAGAAGCTGTGGTATATATACACAATGGAATACTACTCAGCCATAAGAAACGATGAAATCCAGCCATTTGTGACAACATGGATGGACATTGAGGGTATAACGCAAAGTGAAATAAGTCAGAAGGAGAAGGTCAAATACCGTATGATTTCCTTCATTAAGTAGTAGATAATAACAACAATAAACAAACACATAGGGACAGAGACTGGATTGGTGGTTACCAGAGGGGAAGGGGGGAGGGAGGAGGGTGAAAGGGATAATTCGGCACATGTGTGTGGTGATGGGTTGTAATTAGTATTTTGGTGGTGAACATAATGTAATCTATGCAGAAATAGAAGTACAATGATGTACACCTGAAATTTTTACAATGTCATAAACCAATGTTACTGCAATAAACAAAAAATTTTAATAAAGAAAGAAAGAAAGAAAGGATAAAAAAATAAAATAAAATAAAATCAGCCTCCAAGTTTGCAAAAAAAAAAAAAAGAGAAATCACTAAATAGCAGAAGATCTTCGGAAAGTCTATTTGAAATTGTTCTTTGGGACAGAACTGTAAGAGTATGGGCTCCAAAATAAGGCTGTGGGCTTGGGCTCCAAAGTTCAGTTTTCAATATTTAACATCTCCGTGGCTTAAGTTTCCTCATCTATAATATGAAGATAATCACATAACCTATGTCATAGGACTAATTCAAGGAGTAAATGTGATTATTCGTGAAAAGGACTCAACAGCACCCAGAACACAGTAGATGGCCAATAAATGTGAGCTGCCATAATTACTGCTGTTATCATCATCATGTCCTTTATTGTCTTCAGAACCTGGGAAAGGGTGTTTGTGGATGAGAAGCATAATCTAAAATTGATTTGTTTTTAGATACAATATTTATTTTACAATTGCAAATAACATTCAAGAAGGGCAGGAGATTTTACCTATTCCAATGAGTTAGAAAAGGTTAAAAGAAGGTTAACTAGGCCCTAAGATCTCTCTTATCTTCTAATAGTCCTCCCTTTTTAGTGACTTCCAGCTTCACCAAATAGGCATATGAACCCACAATACTAATCCTATATTAACTCTTTTTAATCCAAAACTAAATTACAGAATGGATTTGCCGAGTACACTAATGTGGTTAATTAAGAGTTACGGGTCTTTGATTAGAAGTCTAGACAATGGACAACAGAATGAACATTCCTAAGAATTAATAAGCAACAAAGAAAAAATTAAGCTCCATCAGAGACAGGCCCTATCAAATGTGCTATCTTGACCAAATTATTTAACCACTCTTTACCAAAGCTCCCTCATCTGTAAAAGGAAATACTAGGCATCTTGTAATATTATTATAAGGCTTAAAAATAATTATATACAGTACCCAGTCACTATCAAAGAACAGGTACTCAATAAACGGCAGCATTTGAATGGGCACAATCTCACTCTCCCTCTCTCAACAAATATACACACAGAGTATACAAGATGGGTTTTCTCAAATAATCACAAATATTACAACACAGGTCTGAGTAAAAGAATTTCTCAAAAGCATGGAGGAGTCACCTTATACCCAGGAATTCAACTGCACACACCCGACAGAGAGAAAGAACATGGCAGACAGAGAAAGATGACAGTTGACATCTCCTACAGGGAACTCTGGCCGCCAGTCTACTTCATGAACATATGCTGTGCAGAGAGCGAGATGGAAAACACGAATCAGCCGTGCTCTCAACGGCTCTCGTTCCCACATGCCTCTCCCAGTCAGAGTGCCTTGTCCCCGTGAGTGGGATCTAAAGAAATGTAGTTTTTGTACAACACAGCTCCTAAATACAAGCCAACTACTTCATGTGGTCCTCCACCAAAACACAGCAATCTATTTCAACTCCAGAGTGAAAATGGGCCCTTAATAATGGTAGTATGACTAAACTTTACTCTACGAGGGATTCAAGATATTTCATGGGCAATTCTGACTTAAACGTGACTCTGCCTTACACAGGACCACAAACATCCATTGAGAGACAAGTCCACTAAAGTACGTTTCCTTCAGGTTTTAGTGTCAGCATGAAGGGTGGCAGGCTGAAGAACACGGGAAAATGCCAATACCCAGCTAGATCAAAGAAGTGCTTTAATAGGAGTACTGATTGTTTTGGTCCTATTATACAAGCCAGTTAAAAAAAAATGACAAGTTACCATCACCACATGATACTCTACAGAATTAACAATTCTGAGTATAAGTCTTCTGCTGTCACTCTAAGACTCCCCTATTCTTCCTAAAGCCAAAAATAAACAAGAGAAAAAGCCAGTGTCCTCTACACAGAAATATGGGCCAACCTTTAAATTCAGTTCTCCCATAAGAGTTTTTCAAAGTGTTGGGCTGACAGATTACTGAGAGAACAACCGATCACAAGGGAAAAGGGTGTGCGCCTTCCCCTGCCAGCTGAGCTACCCTCTGCTGCCTCCACTCACCCCAGAACACACATTCTTCTATGTCTTCAGCAGTGGTGAGAGCTTGCACAAAATAATCCACACTTCTCAGACCCCCAATTTTACATTTCACCAGTCAGAGAGTGGAATGCAGTTTCCTCTCTTTGGACTTGGACTTTAGCAACACTGTGACCTAAACCAGTGTATCCTACACATACTAGGGTGCTGGAGGAAAATGCAGCTTCTTATTTTCCTTTTAATCTCGTCCTCTATAAAAATTCTTTATTGGGTATTTTATAATGTATCTAAAATATTAGTAAAGTGGAACAGTAATAATTTAGACGTAAATAAATACGTGGAAGTTGAAGGGCTGTGCTCAAAAATTCTGAAAAAGTTTCGAAACCACGGATCTAACAAGTGTACCAACTAAATTTCTGACAGTTACCTCCAGCTTTATAAGACTCTTAAGACCACTGATTTTAATTCATTAAGCAATTGCTGTTTCAAATGTGATTCAAATCATAACTAAAATAAATTGCCAATTTCATACAAAGTATAATATTGAAAAAATACATATCTATTATGTGTTTTGTTACATTTATAAATAAACTGGAGCTAATGTATAATAATATGGTATCAAACTCATATTTCAGGGAATACTAAGAAACATACGAGTTTTTAAATAATTCATGACGTAGTCGTGACCAACTGAATGGCTCCCAAACCATACTATTTTGCTGATAGAGTAATGATCTGTGATTAAGACTAATTTTCAGCATATTTACTTTGTTTTCATGTCTAAAATGCTTGAACTAGTTAATAAATGACATTAAAACAACAGGCCTCTAAACCACCTAATAGTCATCAAAGCAAAAGTATTCTGTCTGAAGGGGAAATATAATTTATGAAAATAATCAAAATATACATACCTTAAAAGAAATTTAAAATCAGTTGAGACAAGGTAACAAAGCTATGAGGTTCTAGTTAGTATTTAAATAGGGAAACTGGATAAGAGTAAAGAGACTTTCATCCATATAACTTCTTACAACTCAAAGCAAAAGCATTCTAAGTCAAGAAGTTAGAGCAAAATAATCTTAAAAAACTAAGGGTAAATAGGCAGCACTATTTTCTTCTTGTGTTTTTTAACAAAACTGAGTGCCCAACACAGGATAAAGTGTTACATTTAACTTAACTTAGAAGTAAATGTTGAAACAGCAACACAAATTGATTTAGATCAACTTCGCAAAACCAATAACCCCAGCCATTTGAATTAAAGGAATGTAATTCCCAAATTGATGGACACATACCCAATTCTTATCACCACACTAAATGGGTACTACCCTAAATTGAAATATTCAGATTTCTAAATAAAAAAGATGACAAAGCAATCCACCCCTAATATTAAGACCCTCAGATTAAGATTTACCAAAACAGGAAACATCAAACAGAAAGATAATCTTTTATTCATCCTACTTCATTAATCTTCTTTCTAATCAGATGCCAAATATACAATCTACTATACAGCCTTCACTCTTAATAAAAATTCCTATCATTAAGGTAACCCAGTTAATTGTCCATGCAAATCTTCATCAGAGAGGACTAGGAGCCGTTGTGCTAATAAGAAGCCTGCCCTTCCCAATTCTACAGAAACTTCACGCTATCAAGACACTGTTCATTCTGTGGAACGCTGGGGCTGTATCTTTATTAATTCAGACAACATAAGAAGGAATGTTTAATTGAGATGCAGAGTTAACCACCAAATGCAAGAAAACACAAATATAGAAAGAAACTCATGCTACCTTAGTAAGACAGCGTGCACATTTTATATATTTCAACGTAAGCCAAGCGATCAGAGAGAGTTCAAGAAACATATTGGTATCTGTCAAATCCAGGTTAAATATTCTCTTCATTTACTACTTCCTAGTTCAATATTTTGAATTTAAAGCTAATATAAAGTAGTACTATACAAAATGACCTAACAAGTTTGCCCTTAAAAAAAATTATACCCCTAAAAATAGAAATTTATCTACCTCATTAGTGTTCCAACGGTGCCTCTCTTTGGGTAAACTTGAACATTTCGGCAGACATTCAAGCAGCTTTTTCGGTAAAAAGATTTTTACATGACTACTATTGCTGTTCCCATGATCATCTATAAAGAAGAAAACAATAAATTCAGAGAAAATAATAGAGAAAAATCTCCTTTTACGTATACTGGCAAGATCAGAAACAGCAGCTCAGTTTAGTCTCTGTGAGACCAAGAGCATCACTCCTCTGAGTTAACAATCCTCATTTACACACTTATCAGAGAGAAGGCAGCAGGAATCTGGTCAAGAGGCTCTAAAATAAGATCGAGCTATTGCTCCATGACAATCCAGTGAACAGGGACTATCCTAGCAGCTGCCCATAACCAGAAAGTTACTTTTAAAGGTTCTTTTACCAGGGTTCCATGAAGTACAACAAAATCACAAAATAATTTTACCTCACAAAACTCAGAATTCTATCTTCTATTAACCAGCTGAAAAAGTTTTAAGGTTTTTAATGAAGGAGAATGATAATAAAATATGATTATTTTATTCATAAATTACTACTACTTCATCCTCTAGAATACAAATGAGGCTTATCCTTTGAAAAGCAAATTATAAATCTTATAAATATAAGGAATTTAAACCCACAGTTGGCTACCTAGGTAATACAGAGCCTGGCCTGTCTAGCCTAAATCTAACATACTATTTTAATTAACTTGATTTATATATACAGATCCATATAATTAATGTATTTCATCAAAATGTAACTCTTCTAAATTAGTGAGAGAAAAGTTCATTACTTTCAGACTAGATGGTATGTCTTAACTACCTGATAATCAGTCTCCATGATATTTTCTAGAACAGATCGTTTCCTTTATGTTTTGTTTCATTCAATTACTTATTTACATATGATTTCTTGTTTCACTGCCATAACAAAGTCCCTTTGCCTGGCTCAAAACTTCTTGCCAGTTTTGGCACATTTAGGTCAAAGCTTCAAATTACTCGCTCCAATTTTTTTTTTAATGCTAAAATGGAAGTCCCAATATCTGGGGTGCCGTGCATAAGCAGCTATTAAGGAGCAACACATAAAAATACTCAAGACTGAATTTGCTCCAGAAAGTCACAGTTGAAATAACTTATTCTGATATTAATAAGGTATAATAAAAACACTGAACTCCAAGTCAAGAGTCCAGGATTCTGGCCCAGTTCTGCTACTTTCTAATTGTGTGACCTTGGGTAAGTTACTTAATATTTTCAGTTTTCCCAAATCAAGGAGAATTAGATAATTTCTTATTCTCCTCCAGGCATAAATCTCCACAGAATTAACTGTCATTCAATAACTTAAAATGTCTTACAATTAAACAACCTTATACAGGCATATAGGTATTAGTTAATAATGTCAAAAATGAAATACAACAATATATTTTTTCCAATCATTTACTATAATTTTGTTTAGCATAGTCTATTTTTCGAACATGTGAAAAACATATGAGAATAAAAAATATTTGTTACAGTTATAATAAAATCCTCTCCAAACATTTTTCATCTGATTAACACACTTCTTATCAAGGAAAAGATCTTAACAGGAAAATATTGGGCATAGAAATAAAGTCTAAAAAAATTTACTACATGATATGGAAATATTTTATAGGGAAGACCTTAAGACAGTTTTAGCATACTAAATCTTTTTTGGTCCATGAACTACACAACCAATTGAATTATAATGCCCATCCTCTATTCCTATAAGCAGTATAAAAACTTGAAAAACTTAAAAACTGACTGTTTTAAGAATCCAAAATTTTTAATTTAATAGCAAAATAAAATTAAACTTTTAAAAATCTTGCTATGAAACCAAAAAAGAAAGTATTCAACTACAAGTTCATAGAAAGTTCTGTATTAATTACACATTATAAAATCTTTGTAATTTTATGTGCTTATGCATGCTCCCTGCACTTCATCCTCCCAAGGGAGGTACCATGGGCCATAAAACTTTAAAGCACAGAATCCCAAATCACATGAGCCTTTACCTCCCTTCTCTCTTCCCCTAAAGTGATTTTATTCTCATTTTTAAAAATCTCCCATGCTGTGGATGATTTTGAAAGTAGAGGTGAAAGAGGCGAAACATCTATACTCAATTCAAATATTCACCATTTACAGGGTGCCTTTTATGAAAACAATACTATGCTAGGTGTGCAATCAATGGGCTTACTCTGAATTGTATATGACTACTCATACCTCTGAGAAAACTTTATTTAAAGTATAATTTTGAACAATAATCAACAGAATATAAATTTCTGTTTGTGATTACCACCTGATATTAATTATCTGTCCTTTTAGCCTCCTTGAGGAATCCAGCTGTCATGTGGCATATAAAGTATATATATGTATGTATGTATGTATGTATGTATGTGTATGTATACTCCTATATACGTGTGTGTGTGTTTGTGCGTGTTTAGAGAGAAAGTACTCTTCTCAACAGCACAACTAACTGCTATAGAAAAGGCTTCCGTCTTCCACTGACACCAAATTAGGCAGCAGTGCATCGGCCCAAAGTCTTTTTTAAAGAGGAAAAGGAGAATGGCTGTGTAAGCAGTGTCTCAATCAAGTTTCTAAATATAGCACTTTATGGGGATGTGCAGCCATGAGTTCAAAAGGAATAGGAGTATGACAGGCCAATGGGTTCCCCTTAATCAGTTTTTAAACTACGCTATTTCCAGAATTTTAGGTTCATGCTGAATATAAATCGGATGTTTTTAAAAAACATTAACAATGGGTAAATTTTCCCACTGTGTATTATGAAGATGGCAATTTTAATACTGGGAAAAGCATATCAGGAACTCAAACAGGCAAAATGTTAAAACTCCTATATTCAAATTTCAGTTTTTCCAGTAAAAGTGTGATAAAGAGTAACTTTGTTTTCACCTTGGAAAAGAATTGCTCACGTGGCTACACTGTATAAAATTGTGTTCTTTTAATTAAAAGCTGCTTTTTAACGTTTTTTGGAATAACTATAAATGATATAATAATTAGATAAATACACATGCCAGTTTTTAAATCCTTGTCTCAGTACAAGGATTATAACAGTATCTTGAGTTAACAGTGAAAATAAGGTATACACTGGTTTCAACTGCATCTCAGTATTTAATCAAATAGTTAAACTTTGACACTGCAAAATGGAAGTGTCAACCAAACACACTAAAACATTTCATTATCATTATCTAGCAAAATATGTGTGTATGATATATGACTTTACAAAATAATTTTCTAACGTACTTCACAATAAAAATAACTAGTGAAGCTCCTGAAATTGACAGATGATATGCTTGGCTGACAGCTATAATTCTAGAGAATGAACCATCCTTTCCAGTCAACTTTCAAACATTTTCCAAATAATAATTTTAGAGGCACAGTATAATTTAACTAAAACTTTCTAAAATGTATAAAAATGCTCATTCACTTAACTAATTAGGCAAAACATAGAACTCTTGTTTTCATGCTTTATTTCTAAAACAACTGAGATTCACATTACCAAATCCATTATTTAAATCCAAAGAAATGTATTTGACCTCTTCCTTGGAATACACTGTTGACTTCTGCAAGGTAAATTATAACTATGTAACTCTAACCTAGAACTGATACATCCATTTTATTTTGATTCATAATTAATAAAAATTAAATAATTTTTGGTTCTGTGAATTAATTACAAACACTGTTATTCAATCAACTTGATTATGATTAATCGCTCGACCTCTAAACCAACTGTTCAAAATAAGTTGGTATAACAGTATATCAAATTGTTAAATCTTACTGGGAATACATTTGATCAACAACTTGGAGTGGTAAAATTAAAAGGAAGCTCTACAATTTTCTGTTTAGCTCTAATTTTTATGTGCTTAGATTTAATTAGTAGGATAGGAACTGTTTCCAGAAAACATAAGCACATATTGTTATATTGAAGTCAGCACAGGGCTCACAGCAACAAATATTGCCACTACTAACCTAAGACCTTCAAACTACTATTCATCCAAAATAAATATTAATTAAGCACCAACTATGCGCCAAGCATTGGTAGGATTTCTTTTTAGTCTTTTCTAAAGAAATTCTCCAAAATGAATTAGGCTCAGTTGTAATTATCCAAAAGATTTTTTTAAGGTTAAAAAATAAAAATAATGTTTTTTTTAATAGCAAAAGATAATTACTTTTGCAATTTAACAATTCCTTTCCTCTTCTTAAGAGTGTGTGATCATCAAATCTCACCCTTTCTATTTCCACGTGGCCCAGATTTACCCTCTCCCTGCCAATCATATTACCAAATCTCTGGTCCAGGCTTAGGTCAACTCATAACTCAGGTTCAATAAACTTCTCACTATTTACCTGCATGTACATTTTCAATCTAAAAATATGTGGGTGGGGCAGATAAAGTGGGAGCACAGAAACCCTGCAATCAATTGCTTCAATTTGGGTTTGGGGGCATCCTCTCCTGCTTCACTCCATTCAATTTCTTTTTTTTTTTTTTTTTTTTGAGGAAGATCAGCCCTGAGCTAACATCCATGCTAATCCTCCTCTTTTTGCTGAGGAAGACCGGCTCTGAGCTAACATCTATTGCCAATCCTCCTCCTTTTTTTTTTTTCCTCCAAAGCCCCAGTGGATAGTTGTATGTCGTAGTTGCACATCCTTCTAGTTGCTGTATGTGGGATGCGGCCTCAGCATGGCTGGAGAAGCGGTGCGTCGGTGTGCACCCGGGGTCCGAACCCGGGCCACCAGTAGCGGAGCGCGCACACTTAACCGCTAAGCCACGGGGCCGGCCCTCAATTTCAATTTTACCTACATGTGATCAAGTAAATTTATTTTCTACTATTTACTAGAGAGTAAACATTTGCAGGACTCTGTATCAGGCATCCAGAAAGGATTTTACGTTGCGCTCTCTCATTTAATCCTTACAACTACCCATCAGGGCATAATTACCCCCATTTTACAGATGAAGAACCTGAGGTTCAGATTAATTTGCCCAAGAGCCACAGCTAGTAAGTGGCTCAAATGGGATTCAAACATGCCCTGTGGTTTTTCTCACAATACCACACAGCTCCTACTCCACGTCACCTGGAACTAGACACTGGAATTATAGAATTGTTGTATTAGTAGCTAACATTTGCAGACAGCTTTGAATTTTCCATGTGATTAAACCCTTTGCCTTTTTTAATCCTCACAGAAACTTTACGAGAGGAATATTATTTTGCTATCCCCAGAAGGATTAAGTAACTCATCTAAGATCACACAGCAAGTTAAAGGCAGAACCCAGGTCTTCTAAGTCCTGGTCACAGGCTATTTCCCCTGCACTACGGTGACGGAATTACTCTCACTGCCAAGCCCACCCCTTTCTGTAAGTCAAAAGCTTTTCAAGTCCTACCTTCTATAGGTGGCACGGTGTTGAGAACACAGTAGGTGCTAGTTCCGCAGAATACACTTTGGGAAACGCTCTAAGGAAACAGAAAATAAAATGTAAAACTAATCTTTGAAAAAGATATATACTGGCTCTTCTGTGATATTCCTGCCAAAGATGCAAAACCTGAATCTAATCATGAGGAAACATCACACAAATCCAAATTGAGGAACATTCCACAAAATGACTGGCCTGCAATCTTCAAGGGTGTCAAGGTCATGAAGGTCAAAAAGGACCGAGAACTGTTCTGTATTAAAGGAGACTGAAGAGACAACCGATGCAACCCAAAGTTCTGGCTAGACCTTTTTTACAAAGGTTACCACTGGGCCAACTGGCACAGCTGGAAAACCATCTGAGGATTGGATGGTAGAAAAGTCTCTCCGTGTTAACTTCCTTAGTTTGATTACTTTATTGTGGTCATGGAGGAGAATACTCTCGTTTGCAGGAAATACATGAAGTTTCATTTGAGGGTGATGAAACACATTGGCAACTTATTCCCACACAGTTCAGGGAGGAAAGTTCTTTGCACTCACACCTGCGATTTTTCTGTAGGCTTAAATGTGCCTCAAAATTTAAAATACTTGTGTGTGAAAAAAGATATATGCTGGTGAACATGTATTAGTGGTATAATTTTTTTAAATTAGGGAGCGTATGTGCTATACATATAGTAAATTTTTAGTAAGAAGAACCAATGCCATATTCATTTTGCAGTTCAGTCAATGCTCAATGACATTATTAACCACTTCCCAACAGTAAGCCCAACACCCAACTCATTCAAAATAATCTACTGAGTTCCAACTAACAGCATGGCAGGTGTAATAAGTCAGGAAGAAGTTGGAAGATCAGTTCTCTGCTCTCAGGCTGCTTCATGTAGATAAAATTAAAGTTTTCCTATAAAACCTATAAAGTTACCAATGGTAACTTTAAAAAAAAAGGAAAAATAAAACTTTTTTGAGTCTTGCCAGCCAATTACTTTCGGTCCTAAGAATATCCTTTTTGTTAGGTTGCAGTATTAAATAAATTTTTAGATTATTCATCTTGCATTATAAACCACATATTGATATATTCAGAAAACCAAGAATAGTTTACAAGTTCAACAACCACTCGCAACATTTTATATTTAAACATAAAAAGCTCAGTTCTCCCACTAGCTGTCATTAGAAAAGTAATTTAACCTCTCCCTATTACCTTATCAAAAAGAGTAGAGATGATACCTCTCTATCCTACCTCCTAGGGTTGTTAGGAGAATTAGATGGGATATTGCATACAAAGTGCTTTAAATACAAAAGTATCACACAAATACAAAATGCTATTGTCATTATGGTTAATAAGGATAATCTCTAACAATGTTAACATTTTCTAAGAGCAAACAGGATTGCCTGAATTTTCTGTGCCAAAAAGCGTTGAAATCTGACTAAACTTGACTTCCATCAATTTTTAATTCTCCTCTCCCTTATATCCGTGATAAGTGCTTCACCAAAGAATAAGTCTTTCTCCACAATGTGACTCCTAGCTACCAGGATAAACATCAGCTCCTTAATTATTTTCTGCTTCTGTAAAGTTCTTATTCCAAGACTTTTTACTGTCCTTCTTCTATTTGATTTAATCCATAGTGATAACTATTGATTAGCAACCTGTGGTAACATCTGGACCCAAGGATTCTCCCTATAAACTATGGACTAACTTCAGAATTCATATATCCTTTGGAAAATTCAACAGTAGTTTCTCCCCAGGACTATGAGCATGGAATTATAGTATATTATGAAAAGTGGTTGAGGTTAAGTCAGTAGTACTCTTACTTCATGAAACATCTATATGAGTCACCAGCAACAGCCTTCTAACCACATTAATGCAACATCTCATCTTAATGGAGTTTCTGAATTCAAACTTGAAATTTTATGATGTTAAAACGAAAGTCTTACACTCAAGGCCTAACATTTTCTGGCTTCCTATTTAAAAAAACAGATAGCTTTTTTTTTTTTTTTTAAAGATTTTATTTATTTATTTTTCCCCCAAAGCCCCAGTACATAGTTGTGTGTCATAGCTGCACATCCTTCTAGTTGCTGTATGTGGGATGCGGCCTCAGCATGGCTGGAGGAGTGGTGTCTCGGTGCGCACCTGGGATCCGAACCCGGGCCGCCGGCAGCGGAGAGCACGCACTTAACCGCTAAGCCACGGGGCCGGCCCTGAACAGATAGCTTAAGCTTACCTCTTATCAAGACATCATAACAACAGTCTTAACATCAAAAGTTTTAAAAATCACTAATGTACAGTGGGACACACTAATGAACGGCTTCATAAAAAAAGACTTCTACACCTGACTTCAAAGTTTGATGATAGGTAAATTAGTGGTAAAATATACCAAATAACAAATTCTAAGAATTAAACACTAAAAATAACATATGTAACAGAAATATCATGATCAACCAACCATGTTTTCTCTATAGTACTGGTATAACAAAGTCTTAATAGTTCATTTAACCGGGAAAGAAACTCACCCACATAAGTTGAGAGTGAAATCAATGTCATTCTATCCTCAAAAACACCAGGTTCTCAAAACAAATAAGCCAAAACCCAAGAAAACTCACGTAAGAAATGGCTAACCTATCAAATACCCAAGTGCCAGACTCTGAGCTAGGTTCTTTCACGGGACCCTTTGAGATCTACTGCTAAAAGTCTGTTTACAATACTGAGCCAGAGGGGCTCTGCAGCAGAGGGAGGAGCCCAGTCTGAGGGTCTGGAGAGCCGGAGTCCTGTAGTCCAGCTCCACCACCTCCTGCTGAGAAGTCTGGTGCAAATAGCTGAACTCTCTGTCCACAGGACAACACGCAAAGTGGGGAAAGCACAAGCTATAAAATCAGGCAGATCTGGGTTCAAGTCCTCCCTCCACAGCAAGTCTTCATGCTGCCCTCCCTAGCTGACTCTTAAGTCTGACTCCGACTTCTCGTCCGCTGACCGAGTTAGGCAGTCCTACTGGTGCCATCTGAGTAGGCTGTGTTTCCTTCTCATAGAATGCATTCCTCTTTATCATAATTCCTTCCATTTGTTCTAAAAATATTAAAGGAGCACCTAACATGTGCCAGACACTGTCCTAGGAGCTGCAATCCAGCAGTTGATCATACCCTTGTGGGGCACATGCCAGTGGGGGAGGCAGGTGGTAAGTGGGATAAATGCTGAGAAGGAAATAAAACGGGTGGTGTGCTATGGTGAAAACTCAGGTAGGGAAAGCATTGTCTCTGAATGTATATTTGTGTGTGTAGTGAAGGGACTACTTGATTGGAGCTTCAAGAAACCTGGATTCTCTCATTAACCAGATGAGTGGCTCTCAGCTTGGCTGCACATTAGTCAACTAGGAAGATTTTTAAAATTCTGATGCCCAGGCTGCAATCCTGACCGGTTAAGTCAGAATGTATGGGGATGGGACCCACGCATCAGTATTTTTTAAAGGTTCCCCAGTAATCTCAAGAGGTACCCAAGGATGGGAACCACTGAAATAAACACTTATGTGATTCTGGGCAACTCTCTGACTTTCCCAATTTTCTCAAGAGTAAAATGGGAGGCTGACCTTGAGTTGTACATCTCCACCTTTAATGTGCACGCAGGCCATCTGAGGATCTTGTTAAAATGCAGGTTCTGATTCCCAGGTCTCTGTGGGGACTGAGACTGTGCCTCAAAGAAGCCCCCAGGTGATGCCCAGGCCATGATTCAGGGCCACACCTTGAGTATCGGGAACTGGACAATCTACAGCTCAGGAATTAGATCTAAAAAAGATCCTTCTAGTTCCAACGTTCCTACTGCATAATTCCATGAATTCCTAATAGACTAAAAAAGTATTTCTGTCTGTTAATACAAACTATAATAAAAAACTATACCAGACTATCCAAGCAAGATAATTAAAAGAAACTATAAGGATGGTTACTCAATTAAGTATAGTGCCCAGCATCTGCTAGAAGTGCCCAAGAGGGGAGATACAGAAACTCTATAAAATATATTCCCTGCCTTCAAAAAGTACACTATCTAGTTGCAGACAACAGTAAAAAACTGTAATGAAGAAATAATAACATGATTTATTAAGGCTAAAATGAGGGGTAGATGGTAACAGTCCAGAAACTCAGTAACTATCTGTGTACCAAGCACAAACTCTTTGGAGGCACGGACTATGTTCTGTTCATTTTTGTACCCCTTCAGAGAACCTAGGTCTGGGTGTTACAAACAGCCACCTTCACTGTATATCTATATAGTCTTTCGATGATGGAATAAGTGAAACAACATGCTATACAATAAGAAGTGATTACAGGCTTTTGAACAGACAAGCAGCATGATGAAAACTGTATTTACAGTTCTTTAAGTCTTCAGAGAGTCCCTTTAAAGCTAACTGAGGATCCACATAGCTTATTAAATCAAAGATAGAGGCCACATTGAACACAATAAACCACTTGTATCAATTAGAAGTGATACATTAAAAAAATTCTGTCACATTTTATCATGACAAATTGATTCTTGAAATTCACCAGGCATTACATATAACATGACACATAAATAATCAAAATTAAAGCAGAGTGCAAAATTCGCAGCACCTTTACTAAACTCACCAGTTTTGCCTAGCATTCTAGACATCATGCCTAGATCAGTTAGAACAAACTGTATCATGGCTCAAATACCATAAACATTTACTTCTTGCTCGTGTAAAGTCCAGAAGAGGTGTTCCTGATCAGTAGAGAGCTCTCCTCCAAGCAGTGGCTCTGGCACCTGTGCTCCGTCCATCTTGTGGCAGGAGTCTTCCTAGGTCACTGGGCTCTTCTGCATCAGCCAGCAGAGAGGGAAAGGGCACAGATAACCATGCCAGAGGGTTTTACAGGCCAGGCCTGGAAGTGGCACACTTCTCTGCTTCACTCCATTGGCTAGAATTTGTCCACAAAGCCATACCTAATTGCAAGGGAGGCTGGGAAATGCAGTCTGGCCACGTGCCCAGGAAGAGGAGATGGATTTCGTGATCAGCTAGCAATCTGTGCCACAATGCCATTTGTAATTTTTTTT